GGGACGCAGCGTAGGATGACGGGACGCAGCGTAGGATGAGGGGACGCAGCGTAGGATGAGGGGACGCAGCGTAGGATGAGGGGACGCAGCGTAGGATGAGGGGACGCAGCGTAGGATGACGGGACGCAGCGTAGGATGACGGGACGTAGCGTAGGATGAGGGGACGCAGCGTAGGATGAGGGGACGCAGCGTCGGATGAGGGGACGCAGCGTCGGATGATGGGACATAATGAGGGTTAGGCCTTTGGGTGTATTTGGTGGAGACTGGCATGCCGTTGTCAGGCTTTCATTCTGGTCCAGGTCATGACTTTTCATTTTTGTGATATTTCAGTTTCAGAGACCGGCCAAAGCTTCCTGACCCTCTTCTATGCTCAGGACCACTTCCTGCACGAACTCTTCTCCGTCTGCATTCAGGTGCTGAATAAGACATGGAAGGAGATGAGAGCCACCCAGGAGGACTTTGATAAGGTCACCATCTCCTTGTTATGAGGGTCTGAGAGTTTCAGGTCTTGTTTGGACCTTCTCATTCTTGCCAGCTTGTTGTTCTTATCTCTTCAGGTGATGCATGTGGTGAAGCTTGTTGTTCTTATCTCTTCAGGTGATGCATGTGGTGAAGCTTGTTGTTCTTATCTCTTCAGGTGATGCATGTGGTGAAGCTTGTTGTTCTTATCTCTTCAGGTGATGCATGTGGTGAAGCAACAGATTTCTCGCACTCTTGCTCTCGCACCGACATCAATGGACGTTTTCCGGACAAAGATTTCATCGCTGAATTATAGTGAGATTCTGCGCAGACGCCAAGAGGAGAGACTGATCCAAGACGAAGCACTTTCCCCACCTGTCATGTGAGAAGTCCACCAAAGCCAACTTACAGTGAGCTTGACTAAAGTGTTGGTGCCATGTGGTGACTGAAAGAAAAGCCACGAGTGATTTCCTTCTGGAAACGCTGCCCAATCCTCTGACTTCGGAGCTTGTTGGGCCGCAGCAGAATTATTATCTCTATATATTGTTCCATGTCAGTGATTCCAGGAGACTGTCGGGTCACAAATTGCAGATCTTCATGCTTCTATCAGCACAGGCTGATTCCTGTGTGAGACCTCTTGGATCCTTCTGCCCAAACTGAGATGAAACCCCGCCCCCTTCCACCACTAAGCTCCACCCCTGTTGTACAACTGTCACATGCTAGAACCTTAGTGGGCAGTAGAGGCACCAGCACTAGAAGATTGAGTTACAGGTGGAGGAGGACATAATGTAAACCTTCCTGAGAGAAACCTAGAAGATACCATTGGTCCTTCGTACTCAGAATGTACTTGTTTCCTAGCTGTTACACTGACTCTCTGGCTGTTACACTGTCTGACTCTCTAGCTGTTACACTGACTCTCTGACTCTCTAGCTGTTACACTGACTCTCTGACTTCAGCACTTTAAGTCACTGACTTGGAACTTCTAGGGTGGCTCGGCCTTTTCTGACCTCCATATTTGTTCCAAATCAGTAGAGCAGCCAAACAATGAGCATTTTCAGAAGGAGGCCAGCCATGTCAGCCTCTCAGGAAGGTTTACTTCAATGTTACTTCGTGGACCCCCTGGGCCTGACATGGATCAATTTGAAGGCTAACAGGAACTTTATAACCACATGGCGCTGCATCAATTTCAGGTCAGGTTCACTTTAAGCCTCAAACACGATTGTGAACAACATGACACATACAGAGGTCATACATGATGCCAACAGACATACCCCTACAGAGGCCAGAATGAAATCATTAGGTCATATAAGGTGTCTGATATAAATGCTTTGTATACAAAGTGTGTACAGCAAGCTTCAATCAGCTTTAAGACACCATTCAGGCACCATTCAGGCATCAGGCACCATTCAGGCATCAGGCACCATTCAGACACCATTCAGGCATCAGACACCATTCAGGCATCAGGCACCATCTGACTCTCTGGCTGTTACACTGACTCTCTGACTCTCTAGCTGTTACACTGACTCTCTGACTCTCTGGCTGTTACACTGACTCTCTGGCTGTTACACTGACTCTCTGACTCTCTGGCTGTTACACTGACTCTCTGGCTGTTACACTGACTCTCTGACTCTCTAGCTGTTACACTGACTCTCTGACTCTCTAGCTGTTACACTGACTCTCTGACTTCAGCACTTTAAGTCACTGACTTGGAACTTCTAGGGTGGCTCGGCCTTTTCTGACCTCCATATTTGTTCCAAATCAGTAGAGCAGCCAAACAATGAGCATTTTCAGAAGGAGGCCAGCCATGTCAGCCTCTCAGGAAGGTTTACTTCAATGTTACTTCGTGGACCCCCTGGGCCTGACATGGATCAATTTGAAGGCTAACAGGAACTTTATAACCACATGGCGCTGCATCAATTTCAGGTCAGGTTCACTTTAAGCCTCAAACACGATTGTGAACAACATGACACATACAGAGGTCATACATGATGCCAACAGACATACCCCTACAGAGGCCAGAATGAAATCATTAGGTCATATAAGGTGTCTGATATAAATGCTTTGTATACAAAGTGTGTACAGCAAGCTTCAATCAGCTTTAAGACCCCATTCAGGCACCATTCAGGCATCAGGCACCAGTCAGGCATCAGGCACCATTCAGACACCATTCAGGCATCAGACACCATTCAGGCATCAGGCACCATTCAGGCATCAGACACCATTCAGGCATCAGGCACCATTCAGGCACCATTCAGGCATCAGACACCATTCAGGCATCAGGCACCATTCAGGCACCATTCAGGCATCAGACTCCATTCAGGCACCATTCAGGCACCAGACACCATTCAGGCACCAGACACCATTCAGGCACCATTCAGGCATCAGGCACCATTCAGACACCATTCAGGCATCAGGCACCATTCAGGCATCAGGCACCATTCAGACACCCTTCAGGCACCTTTCTGCTTCAGTTCTTTAAGCCTCAAACACGATTGTGAACAACATGACACATACAGAGGTCATACATGATGCCAACAGACATACCCCTACAGAGGCCAGAATGAAATCATTAGGTCATATAAGGTGTCTGATATAAATGCTTTGTATACAAAGTGTGTACAGCAAGCTTCAATCAGCTTTAAGACACCATTCAGGCACCATTCAGGCATCAGGCACCATTCAGGCATCAGGCACCATTCAGACACCATTCAGGCATCAGACACCATTCAGGCATCAGGCACCATTCAGGCATCAGACACCATTCAGGCATCAGGCACCATTCAGGCACCATTCAGGCATCAGACACCATTCAGGCATCAGGCACCATTCAGGCACCATTCAGGCATCAGACTCCATTCAGGCACCATTCAGGCACCAGACACCATTCAGGCACCAGACACCATTCAGGCACCATTCAGGCATCAGGCACCATTCAGACACCATTCAGGCATCAGGCACCATTCAGGCATCAGGCACCATTCAGACACCATTCAGGCACCTTTCTGCTTCAGTTTGGGGAAGTTAAAAGGATCTTAAAGCCCCCCAACGGACCCTCAATCCGGAACTGTTCCCTGCAATCATTTCTTGTCTTCTGTCTTGTTGGTTAAATGAAGGTCAGCGTCACTCAACCTGGAATATAGAGTGTGAGTGCCGGGTGTCTAAGTGAAGACCACAGAGGACCCAATGCATCGTGTGATTGGTCAGAAGACTTTAAAAAGAAGAATAAAATATTCATAATAAACACACAAGGTGGGGGTGGGGCTGAGCCCGGAGTTGGACTTTAATGGAAGTGCTGGCGGTCGCTAGAAGGTTTCAGCACTACTTGTAGCTTATTGAAAGCCAGCCAGCTGCTTGTTAAAAGCCCATCTCCGGGCAAGCAAAAAAAGTACCCTGGCAATAAGGATACCCCCACACTGCAAGGGTTAAGTGCTCGTTTATGTCTAGGGGCTGACGTAAAGCAGATTTACTTATGTGATCCCCAATCCACCGGCATTCATCGCTCTCCTCTTCTTCCCCTTCTCTGGCAGTCAGCGCTCTCTTCCCCACCTCCTTCTGCGCTCAGCACTCTTCTCTTCTACGCCTCTCCCGACGGTCAGTGCTCTCCTCCCCCTCTGCTCTAGCTGGTGGAATATCCCTGTTTGGCCACACAAAAAATACAGATTTATGAAACCCACATTAGATGTGATGACATCAAAAGACCTTACCCCGCCTGAGCCCAGGGGAAAAGAGCAAGCAGGTACTGGTCCAGCAGCCTGGAGAGAGCAAGCGGGTACTGGTCCAGCAGCCTGGAGAGAGCAAGCGGGTACTGGTCCAGCAGCCTGGAGGAAGCCAGCGGGTACTGGTCCAGCAGCCTGGAGGAAGCCAGCGGGTACTGGTCCAGCAGCCTGGAGGAAGCCAGCGGGTACTGGTCCAGCAGCCTGGAGAGAGCCGGCAGGGATCAGGTAAGTATCAGTTTGACCACTAGACCTGAACAAGCAGTTAACCCTTGCAGCGCTGGGGCAGTTCCCCAACAAGGGTAGTTTTTGCTTTGCCTGGGTGACAGTGGGAACTCCCATTAAGATCAATGTTTAGCCTCCCCAAACTGGAAGCGACAATCTCTGCTGAACCCGCCCGTGCTCTGTAGGAAATGAGGACAGCAACATGCAGATTGTCTTTGACCCATCTGGGCTTCACTTCTCTGTGTTTTATGTAGGGAACTCAGAGCGCAGCTTCAACCAGAGCTCCTGAACCTAATCAGACAGCAAAGACTCCATTTCCTGTGTGAGGGCACCAAGTTCAGGAAGGTCAGCACCCGAAGAAGGCAGGGTAAGAAACTACACCCAATTCACTTTAACTTCAGGTTTAGAATAGTCCCTAACATGGATTTTATCTCAGCACTCATCACTGGAACAGGAAGAGAAATGAAACTTCCAAATGTGACAATTGTCTAAGAAGGTCGTTTCCCTCAATTTGTAGAAACTTGCTTTCACTTCCTGTTGTGTCTCTGGGAAAGTAGGCGACACTAAACTTAGGAGTGAAATCTAAAAAATACATTCAAATACCTTAACAACAATGTATCTTATTTGTGTCACTCGGCTGGAGATCCTCCAATCATCTGGGACACCGTCCTTCCTTCTGGAGGGGGGCTACGTCTGTTCCCCATGACCCCTGTGTGTGTTGTAAAGTAGTCACCGCTCCAAGCCCCGCCCCCGGGATGGAATACAATCTCCATACAAATTAGCTAACTATAAAGATATTTCTCCAGTCCCTATCTGTATCTGCAAATGTCTATACAGTCCCTACAGTCCCCATGGGAATCTAAAATTACATTTCAAGTCCCTACTATGAGTATCTTGGTGGCACATATTGGACTAGTGTTCCCGGTATCGTTTCATGGTGAGCAATAGTTACAAATACATAACTGATAATGATAAAAATAGACCCAAATCCATCCAGTCATATCCTCAGGATGACGTCTGATACTTTGTTACAATGAAGGTGAATACAGGAAGCCGTGCAGAAGGCTGTGAATGGATAATAACGACATTTAATCCTACAGGAAAATAAATGTATTCCCTTCTTTCAGATAAGCTTTGGTTCTGCCGACTCTCCCCAAACCACAAAGTGCTGCACTACGGGGACCTCGAGCACAACACTGACACCCTGCCGATTGAAACACTTGCCTCAAAAAGTGAGAACATCTCGAGACTACAAAGCGGGGGGTGGGAGAGACGACGCATATGAGACATACAATATATGAACTATATAAGGGAGGAGGTGACAGATTATTGGGGTGTGGGGCTGTATACAGGGGAGGTGACAGATTATTGGGGTGTGGGGCTGTATACAGGGGAGGTGACAGATTATTGGGGTGTGGGGCTGTATACAGATGAGGTGACAGATTATTGGGGTGTGGGGCAGTATACAGAGGAGGTGACAGATTATTGGGGTGTGGGGCTGTATACAGGGGAGGTGACAGATTATTGGGGTGTGGGGC